GGCATGAATTTATGTGTGTTAAACTAAAAATGTATAATGTAGCTTTAAAGGATTACCTTTAAGTTCCTAGTTTAATACATATAACAATTTCTTACTTAAAGAGCCTAACATCTGCAAGTATGAATTCCCATGCTAAGTAAGGTTTAGGACAAAACCTACTTACCTTCCAGCCCCCTAAAACATCTGTTTGAAAGCTAAGACACAGTCTTCAAAAAGAGTTGCATATAGGCTCATAAATTGGTAAACTGAAATATGCCATGTACCTTTGTAGAATCCTTCAATAAAGAATCTTAAATCTTTATTGGCCACTTAGGGTTGTAAATTGTATGCAGATATAGGGAATTGGGCCATAATTAGTTTTTCTCCAAACTTTAGCTACATTTAAATGTTTGCAACCATGAAAAGAAGACAGAGGTTGTCACGAATGGTTAAATTTAGAAAAGACAGGTTAACATTTGCAAGAAACCATGTCAATCAATTTACAACTGAAGTTAATATAAAAGATTGAAAATAATTGGTCTCTTACCTTGGGATTGTCCTCGTCCACTCTCATCAAACAGCTTCATTAATCAATTATAGAGAATTCTATAATCACCTTTTAAGGGTGTTAAAAGAACATATGCATGATAATTTTCACCAGCTAATATATAGATATGCAAAAGTAATTACAAAAGTAATCATTAATCATCATGGCTATTTAGTTATATTATGGGTCATAGACACAAATTCTATGCAATGTGCCTTGTTCTTAAAATAACACCTTTTGTGATGATAATTTGAACAATGATTTTTAAGTATCTATTGCACGGCATACATAATAGGCTACTTCAATGAAAATAATTTCTTATTCAATGGACTATGATATCTATTTCTCAAGAATTATTTCAGAACAAGCCATTACGTTTTGTAAAATCATACAATAGAATATATATTTGATCAAAATGAGTGTTTTTCATTAGCTATTCTCTAAATATCATATATCTTACCATGTATACGTAAGAAACAACAAAGTTAGGAGGACTTTTTTATATATGCTATTGCAATATAATATCAAATTAATTTAAAACAAGACAATGTTGTTACCCTCCCCCACCAAACAAACAAACAAACAAAAAACCCAAATCATAAAAACATGGTTCTGGAAGAGAGTTTGAAGGTCATCTAGGTGGATCTCCTGCCACTAGATAGAACTAATTATCAATGATGCAAGTTGGATGACTACCCCAGTCTTAGAATTAAAGCAAACATACTTTAAATATGTTCCCCTTCCCACAGGCAGCAACTAAACTAACCGTCGTTGCATTTTTACTGTGCTGGTTTTAATATGTTGTATTTCTACTACTTGACGCTTTGCTACCCATGGCTGAGCCAATTCTGAGGTTGATAGTTAATTCTGCAACTCACATCTGAAACTCCAACAATTATTTTAGAAGAGCCTCTGGGGTCCTCATTCTCCAAGTTAAAAGTTTCTGAAAATTCTTGGTCTCCCTCTTCAATCCATACCTAAGATTCCATGAATATAAGAATTGGAAAAAATCCAGTGTGGTCTATACTCATGGGCTTGGAATGACTACACAGGGAAGTGTAGCCCGCTGGGGCAGATGGAATATTTGAGAGCGAGACAAAAAAGGTCTATGAAGTTAGTAGCTTCTGCTCATTGGGGATGACTTTTTCAAATATCAGTTGACTTGTAAATGTTTTTTCCTGCCAAGAACCAGCACAGACTTCCCACCACCCCAACACTCAGGGAAAGGGGAGAGGGGCCATTCCTGGAAGACATTTTGCAGATTATGCATTAGGAAAGCACTTACCTTTATTCCAGCATTGCCTGGACCTTTATAACTTTTAGTGAGACAGCTACCAAACTTATAAAGCTTATACATGTCTCATAAAAGACTCTCATTGGGAAGTTAACACTGAACAATAGCAGATGCATAGATGGCAAATTTTCTACAGATGTAATAAAAGTCCCATTGGGATTAACAAATCCCAGTGTCACCTCTTACTAGATATCTAAACTGTGGCAGTTTGTTAGAGTCCCTGAGCTTTAATCCCCTTGCCAATAAAATAGGATGTGGTTGTGAAGGTTAGCAAGGTAACATGCATAATGCACCTAGCTTCATGCCCGATGCACAGCAGACACTTGGCAAGGGTGGCCACCCCTGTGTATTTGCTTGCTTGTTGTTGACTACTTAGTAATTGTATGTACTGTCTACATTTTCAATAGTTTGAGATCTGTCATTCAGAACTAATATTTTTGTTTTCAATATAAAGTGATGAGTTATAAACTTTTCAGGGATTGTGTGAGAGGAACTTGTATGAGAAGGACCTAACCGATATTGCTGCAGAGGTTCTGGTTCATCGAGTAGGCAGACCTGGTGAGCAGTCCCCCTCAAAGACGCCCCAACAGACTCATTCCTGGAGAGTCAAGCAGGTTACATAACACAGAAACTGAAGGCGAGAGAATGTCCCTTTCTAATTCAAATTCCAAAAATTGGAATTAACCTGCTTCCTTTCCCATTTAGGAGTTCTCCTCAAAGAGAAGAATGAAGGAAGCCAACAGGTCAAACACAACTTCTGAAGGGTAAAAAAAAAAA